AATAATATTCCGCACTACTGTGCACATTTTATTTGGCATTCAATTGGTGAGCAATTCTTTTTTCAACGAGATTTTATTCTATTTTAAAAAGTTTAAGTATTTAAAATGGATTAAAAATCATGTCTATATCCCGAGTTGCCATCCCCTGTTATTTCATATAAGAATATTCGAGATCACTCCCGGTTTATTTTAAAAAAATGTATACAATTTTCAACATAAAAAAATCCACAAAGTATAGCATTTGTTTAAATAAAAATGTTGTTAAAAAATTATCTTATGTATCGTAATTAAATTGTAAAAATTCATTGCAAAAGTTAATTTAATATAATATTCGGGTTATACTTTTGCAGTTCTAATCACGTTGCGAATATTCAACATACATTTTTCGGTCATGAAATTACTCTTTTAACTTAAGCACTCCACATAACACTAACAGCGATAACCAATTAATTAATCATTCAAATTCAATTAAATTTTTTTTTAAACCTAAGCTAGACAGTATGCCTAGTAGTAGTATAGTAAATGATTAGGCTTACATGCTAAGGGTTAAAGGTTACAAGTTAAAGGGTCTTACGCTGCGGTAATATTAGAATGCAGCATGACGTTAAAACTGATGCTAATAACTGTCTAATGGGCCTATTACTTGAACAATCTACTCTTTGAAAACTTCTAAATAGGCATACCACTTGAACAATTTAATTGAAAAACAGCGAAATACAAAGAAAGAAATAATTTTAACAATGTGTCATTACACTTAGTAAGTAAGGAGTATCACTAGACTTCGTCTGTCTGTATGAAGATCGACGTCAATTGAATAAGCTATTAGATAAATCAATGGGTTTTCAATGGTACAATAGCAATGGTACTCAACAGACGCGTCGCGTGGCGGGGGTGCGGACCGCATCGGGTGACACCACTTAGGGGGTGACACCATGGCGAAAGTTGCAAAATATATAGAAGAAATAGGCTTTTTGCCAGTTCTATCTATATTAATAACTGACTATAGATAACATATTTACTATTAACTGTGCACACTATAAAACTATCAACCGAGGAGGGGGGAGGGGGGAGTATAACACCAACTACTTACTTAACAGGGGAAAAAGGTTTTGTTGAGTATTTTGAATAACTGATAGATAAGTCAGCCGAAATCTAATAATTTACGAAGAAAACAATACTTTTCCCACATTAGTTATTAATGAATTGGTGGATTAATATTTGTGCACACAAATTGACGTCATTCGGCAAAATGGGAGACGGTGAAGGGGGATGACACTATGAGGTGTAGCACCGGGGGACACCCCACCTAGCGACGCCACTGGTATTCCCATTTTGTTTCCATGAAACGTTATACTTAGGGCTTTCCCGTGAGCCAAATGGCGCACACATTCGTTTAAACAGTGCGGGAGACTATGGATCAGATGGGGTATTGTAGTTGCTCACTAAATTGAATCAGCAGCATACGCCAGAGCCAAGGTGAGATTTGGCGCTCCCGGCTATCCCGTGAGCACTATGGCGCCTATTTTAGTTTTAAAGAGCACCCTACAATACTGACCCGGTGGCACACGACATTCGGTGATAAAACCACGCCAGGGGCAGTACCCGGCGCCCAACGTAAGGTAACCGGGGGCTCCCGAGAGCGCCCCTCTACGTCCCTAACATGATCGATGAAGTGTGTACTACCTTATTACTGAGAGAAATTAACGTACACCCAAAGCTTTCATATAGCACGCTGGGGTGTGCTGGGTGGTAGTGTGGGCAAATATGATCTAATAACTATAGCGTAGACATTGTTTACATTTTAATAACTTGATGTTTGAATACAAGCAAGGTCACACGTCTAAGAATATAGGATTAGTAAAGTAATGATATACTTATAAAAACCCTATTAAAAATTGCATGCGACTTTTTTCTGAGATCGGAAACGCGAGGTGGTGGGCACGCAAGTCAATATATTTAAATATCAAAGTATGTGTGTGTGTATGTCCTTCATGTATTACTACACCTTTTATCCAATAGCTATTGCATTTTGGAGAACTGTTGAGAATGCTCATTTGAAGTTTTCTGCAGGGAAAAAATTAATTTTTATAAATTTTTATTTATATATAATATTTATAATTTATATATAATAATATTTATAATATATTACTTTAATAATTTAATGTAATATTAATTTAATAATTTATAATCTATCTCTATATATACAGCAATGTCTGTGTGTGTGTGTGTGTGTGTGTGTCTGTTTGTCTTTTATGCATTACTACACCATTCATCTCATCGCCGTGAAATTTTAGGAAGTTGTTGAGAATACTACTGGGGAGTTTTATGTGGGAAAAAAAATTCAAATTCGCAGGGGTGGCGCCCCGGCAGGGCGCGATTAAATTTTTTCTCTATAAAAGGTATATAAAAATAAACGTCGATTGCGGTTTCCCAGCGTTCATCCGATCGCCATCAAACTTTGGGGAGTTAATTAGAACACTTTAGGTGAGGTTTATGTAACAAAATCTTTTTTTTTTATTTCGCAAGGGCGGCGCCACGGAATGGTGCGATTTTTCCTCTATATACGGTATATAAAAATAAAAGACGATTGCGGTTCGACAGAGTTTATCCGAGAGCCATAAAACTTAAGGGAGTTGATGAATACTTCCGTGAAGGTTTCTGGTGGGGTGGGTGGGTGGTGTTGGGGGGATTTAATTGTGCATGCCCCCCCCCCCCCCCCCGGCTGGATGGAATTTGGCGCCTTGGTCTTTTCCATGAGCGCTATGGCGACTACGTTCGCTATTAACAGTGTGATAGACAATGGATAGGATGGGGCTTTACAAACGCTCACAAAATTGAATCAGGCGTGTCCGCCGGCGCCCTGGCAGAGTGCGATTAGGCTGCAAACAAAAATTTCAGTTTCGGCCACCAGAGGCTCACATGGGCCGCTGAGGGCCATGTAATACATTTTATTTTAATAATCATAAAAATTAACCAAGGTTAGATTAACTGGGATGTTTCTTTTTGTCCGTAAAAAAAATCCAAACAGTTTCGTCACTTTGCGAATGAAGCAATTAGCATCTAATTTTAGACAATCCAATCAGAAATTGAGATCGAGCATCTAATAATAGTAATAGACCATTAGTAACGCTAGCATATTGCATCAGTCACACTGATGTTTAAAACACGTCAAATAATTTTTTTTCGTGTTAAAGAAAAAATCCTGTTCATTTGTGTCACTTTAGCAAATTACGCAATCTGCATCATTGTTAACCGGATGCTATTTGGCACGATGGCGCCTGTTAGTTTTAAGGAGCCAGGGGCCGTAAGCGGCGCCTATGCTGTAGTGTAATCTAGGGGGGGGGGTGCTCATGAGAGCGCCCTTCTTCATCCCTGATACATGGGCGGTCACCGAAGTGTGTTCTACCTCATTATTTCGGTGAGTGATTAATGTACACTCAAGGTTTTCATGCGGTAGTGTAGGTAAACCCGTGTCCCGATATTTATGATCAAAGCGCAGGCATTGTTTACATTTAAATGACTCACTTTTAGAAAATAAGGTCACGCGTCTAAGAATATAGGATTGGTAACGCATGGATGCAGAGGGGGGGGGGGGGGCGGACCGCACCGGATGAAACCAAGGAAAAAAATAGCAAAATATATAGAGAAAAATTTGAAGGAGCATGCAAATTGAAAGTTTGATGGGGGGGGGGGGGGTGCAAATCGAAAACTGAAAGTTTGTCCCCGGGACGGGTCTCTACGCCTCGGGGGGGGGGGGGGGTGACACCATGAAGTGCCGCACCGGGTGACACCTGACCTCGCTACGCCACTGCATGGATGAAACCCTTCTTATATATTTCGTCGGACTTTCTTTTCCCGCGGCAACGTGCGTGGACGGGTACGCTAGTATATTATATTATATATAAATTTAATTTATATCAAGTATAAGTTGGATACAATTTGGCGCCCAGTTTCCGAGCAGCTATCGCAACACTTGATATCTGTTGATCGGGTGTCCTACATAGGAGATCAGGGGTATTTCTTGAATCAACTACACCAGACTCATCCACTAAATTGAATCAGGCGCATCCCCCTGTGCCCCAGCAGAGGGCGATTAGGCGCCCTGGGCTCCCCCATGAGGAATATAGTGCCTACATTTCCTTTAAACAGAAAAATAGGCTTTGAGTATGGTGGAGTACTATAACCATTGGCTATATCAAACCTCACTTCCACCAGCCCCGTGACTGTAACCCAGCCTCCCATATGAGCACTATGGTGCCTACATAAGGTTTAAGGAGCACCCTACAATATTGACACAGTGAGCAACAACATTCAATGACTAACCCGAGTCAGAGGACGCACTCGGCGCCAGTGGTAGTGTAACAAGTGGCTCCCAAAGAGCGCCCTACAACACCCCTGATACAAGGACCGTTGTCGAGGTATGTTCCAGTCACTATTACGGAGGTTGATTAATATATACACCATAGGTAATTGTTAAGCACATCCAAGGGCATCTGTGCGGGAGTGTAAACAAAGCTCAATATTAGAAGGTTGCGCGTCAAAAATGCACCATTGGTAAACATTGACAAAATCCTCTTAAAATATCAAGTTTGCCTGCAGCAATGCTGGTCACAACAGTCTTTAATGAAAAGGTTATGTAGTCAACTGGCAGGTCACGTTATGTAGTCTACTGTTTCAACTGTTTTACTTACAAGAATCTATTTACTACTTTGAACTGTTTTACTTGCAGTTGCAGGTGCTTTCGATTTTCCAGTACAGCTGCAGTCAACAAAAGATTCAGCTACAACACAACTTTGCTGTCTAGAGATGGGGTACTTGATCATCAGCAAAACACCTGTGGCTTTAGATTAGTGGGAGAAATCAAAACACAAAGGATAACAAAAACAAAACCTCAATACAATTAAAATGAATGATGAAACATTCTAATGATTATAGTACTAGAATCACACCATCAATAGCAGATGAATGATAGGATGCATGGTTGCTGTCTTGAATGAAGAATGAGTTCCCAGTCTGTAGTATCTACTAGTTCATCCAGCCCCAAGGGACAGAAACGTACACGGGCAGACAGTGAGAAGAGGAAAGACGCCAACAAAAAAGGTGAAACCATCTGTCTTAAATTTTTCAACCTTCATCCACATCATCCTTCATCCACATCATAATACACTTGATTTGGATGACAACTAAACTATCTGTAACACACTTTGCATCTAACCAATTTTGTTGTTGAGACACATCTAGAAGGTTTCTTTTAACATTCATTACACTAGACAGTTGAGAGATTTAAAATCACACATGAAAGCTTCATTTTTTACCAAGGCATGTGAAGTGACTTACTTGACTTAGTCCTCTTTGCTCCTTATGGAGCATAGGGCCTCCACCATTTCCTTCCATTTCTTCCTATCCTCGGCTATTAATTTTGACATCTCCCAAGACATCCCTATTGGCTTCAGTTCTTCAAGAAGACTCCGCCTCCAGGTCTGTCTTGGGCGCCCTCTCTTCCGCTTTCCCTGTGGGTTCCACTCAAGCGCTTGGCGTGTAACATTTGTGTGAGCCTTTCGCAGTGTGTGACCCACCCAGCGCCACTTCCTCCTTCTTATTCATGTGAAGTAGAGTTTGTCTATTTCAATGTCTTTGTCATGTCAAGGTCAGCAATATGCTTAGCCAACTTAGTTTTCCTAACTGGTCAGTTTCGGTGGACTCACATCCAAGCTTCCTTGACAGCTTACCTATTTACAATTTACACATTAAATCTTTTGTTTCTAAAACTTACACCCTTAAGCCAAATATAGATCTACCTGAAATCTTAGCAATATATAAATTACCTACTTATAACTAACTCCTGAAATCTTCCCAATGTATAAACTTGACATGTCAGCTTACGTCCCCTCCTATGTACAAGAAGGAGAGAAGTGTGTGGTGTGTGGTGACAACTCTACTGGGACACATTACAGGGCTATGACATGTGAAGGCTGTAAGGTAGGTCACATCATACATGCTACCACATTCATGGACTCATTGTCAGGACATTAGAGGACTCATTGTCAGGACATTAGAGGACTCATTGCCAGGACATGTATAGGTCTTTCAGGAGATGACTTTATAGAGGGTGTTGGGGGATGTCATCTCTGTAGGGCTGGATGAGAGTAGTGCAGTCTAGCTAATTGATAATTTGTCATCTTAAGAAAAGTAGTGCAGTCTAGCTAATTGATAATTTGTCATCTTAAGAAAAGTGAACTATTTTAGGGGCTAGGTGAACCATCTTAGATTCAAGGTTAGTCAGTCTCTATGGACACATTCTTCTTATGTGTTAGTTGCTATTTATTGCAATAAGTCAAAACTGTCACTTTGGGTCTAATGGAGTGTTACATTCTCTTTACAACAGCTCAAATGTATCATCAGTTTTATATGTGTTTTGAAAATTGTCTAAATAACTTGCTTTTTGATCAATTATCAGGGTTTTTTTCGTCGGACCATTCAGAAAAGTAATGGAGGCACTCCTGACTTGCTTTGTAAGAAGGAGAAACAGTGTGAGATTACACCTGAGACAAGAAATGCCTGCCAGTACTGCAGGTTCCAGAGATGTCTGGCCATGAGGATGGACCCAGGATGTAAGGCTGTTTTGTGTACTTCACATACTTATTGTAGCAGGAGCTGCTGTAACAGAAAGTATGTACCCAAAATAATTTTTTGAATCTCTGCAGCTGTGTTGAATGAGAGAGAGCGACAAAATCTGAAAGTATTGATTGACACCAATAGAAAAGAAAGAAAAAAAAAAGGGGTGCTAACACTGACAGATGAGGAACTTAACACCCTGAAACATTTAGGACTCAGCTACAAAAGGGCCTTTGTGTCAGACTGCTACACGTACATCAGTCGACAGGTGCGTTCTAATGGACTATTCATTCCTCTATGTATATATGTGACAATCCATTCCTATCTGTGCATCTGTGACATTCCATTCCTCTATGTATACTATACCTGTGACAATCTAATGTTCCCTGTATATCTGTGACATTCCATTCCTCTATGTATCTATCTGACCCATAAGGAGCTGTATGCCACAGACGAGACTGAAGCGACAAAGCCAGCACCAGGATCACGTCTGTCTAACCCAAGCTTAAAGCAGCTGGTGGACTTTGTCTTCAACATTCCAGACATCAACAAGGTAGATGTGTAGACCACGTTAGGTGGTCATAAGCTAATATTACTTTGTCACGTTTGACATGCCATTCAGTGACGTGTGTATTTCTGGTGAGCTGACAATGTTTGTGCTTGTCTGCAGGTGACGCGTGCTGACCTCTACACTCTGTGTTGTGCTCGTCTCATTGACGTGGTTGCAATTCGCCTGGCTGAGATGTTTGACCAGCAGAAAAATGAGCTTTGCTTTCCCAACTTTCGACTTGGTGAAGGAGACTTAAAAGAGCAGCCCCACCTGTCTCTGATCTTCTACTTTGCCAGAGAATATGCCAAGTTTGTCACAGCAGATGGGATCATCCTTGGTTGTCTGTGTGCTACCAGGTTTCTCAACACAGGTCTGTTTGCTTAGTTCTAAAGTACTGTCATTCCAACTGCATGTACAGGGGTAGTATAGAGAGAGCCAGTGTTATATTTTGTATGTTGTTTTATTAAAATTAAACTAATTCACTGGCCTAACTTGCATCTGTAGATAACACAAGTGTAGTGGACTCCAATCTGGTGACTGGGATAATGGATAATATCCAGAACATTTTCCACAAGTACTTGGCACAGGAGAAGCCTGGCTTGATCCGCCTGATCTACAGCAGGTTGCCTGACTTAGAGGACATCAGAGATTACCAAGCCAAGACAGTGACCAAGTTGGCCATGCTCAGCTCAGATGATGTGCTGTTGGATCTGGCCCTGCTTGACCGGACTGGGTTCAAGCCAGCCCAGCTTGTGACAGCAGGTCAGCTTATGATGCCAGAGAACACAGGTAACACAAGTAACTCCAGACAGCTGAGAGAGAACACAGGTAACACAAGTAACTCCAGACAGCTGAGAGAGAACACAGGTAACACAAGTAACTCCAGACAGCTGAGAGAGAACACAGGTAACACAAGTAACTCCAGACAGCTGAGAGAGAACACAGGTGACCCAAGTAACTCCAGACAGCTGAGAGAGAACACAGGTAACACAAGTAACTCCAGACAGCTGAGAGAGAACACAGGTAACACAAGTAACTCCAGACAGCTGAGAGAGAACACAGGTGACACAAGTAACTCCAGACAGCCGAGAGAGAACACAGAAGACCACGCACAGATGAGAGATTGCTACCAACTCAAGTGTGAAACAGAAGTGGATAAAAAAGATGTCTACACCATAGTGGATGCTGGCACATCCACCATGGTGGATGCTGGGATGGAAACAGATGAAGAGACTTTAGCTCAGATTGGACAAGATATGGCAAATCTAGACACTCATGTTGAACACATTGACCGACAGGTGTCCACTTCTCCAGCAAATGTAGGACATGACAGAGTTGTGTTGGGCTGTAGCCCTAGTGGGCTAATAGGTGATATGTTGTCAGTCAAGGTTCAGGATGCTCATGCCACACGTTGGTTGGGCAACGGCAGACTTGAAGCATATTATGAGCATCCGTCAACTCATTTTCAACAGATCAACTATCACCCCCCACCTCGGGGCATCCAAGATCACGTGGAGGCACTTCTGATTAAAAAAGCTGCTTTAGAGGCATCTCTCAGACAACTGCAGGGACACAGCCCACAAGTCAAGATGGAAGTTGGCGGCTCACCCGGGTACCCTTCTCATCCCTCCCCAGCAGTCCATCACAGCTCACCTGGGTACCCTTCTCATCCCTCCCCAGCAGTCCATCACAGCTCACCATTGGACCAAACCTACACCCTTGACAGTCTCAACTTGCATTTGAGCACATTCCAGCCCATCTCCCAGGCCCACATCATCCAGGCTGTCCGCCAGACCCACATCATCCAGCCTGTACCCCAGGCCCACATATATCAGCCTTTAGCTCACACAGACCCAGGCCCCATCCAAATGGATCAGTTCTCCAGTCCCCAGCACAGCTCCCACTACCAGGCTCCCACCTCCCCTAAACTGAAGCCTCCCCTAGCAACTGCTGGCAGTGGCACCATGACAAGCTATACAGCACTAACTCAGCTCGGGAGCCAGCAAGCTGTACAATACAGGCAGGAGGAGCCCAGCACAGTTAGCACCCCCATGGACCTTAGAAAAAATAAAGTAGGTCATGAGGTCAAGGTCAATCAAGGACTCAAGAAAAGATGGCTAATGGTATATTCACAAGATTCATAATATTTTACTGGCATCACCAGCACATTTAGTCTGTGCAAAGCCAACCAGTACAATGTCAATTAGTATTCTATGGCAAAAACACTTTTCTTTCATCCTATATAAAAAAAGAGTTCAAATGATTTACCGTAGCTGATTATCAACACCAGTGTGCATATGGTGCAATTAATGCATTGGTTCAATGGGTTTTCTAGTCAAGCTGTAAGTGGCAGATCTGGGTTGTTTGTTGGCTAAGACATTTATTTCATTTATTTAGTCAGCTACATTTTATTTTGTTTTTTGTTGGCTAAGACATTTATTTCATTTATTTAGTCAGCTACATTTTATTTTGTTTTTTGTTGGCTAAGACATTTATTTCATTTATTTAGTCAGCTACATTTTATTTTGTTTTTTGTTGGCTAAGACATTTATTTCATTTATTTAGTCAGCTACATTTTATTTTGTTTTTTTAGTCAGCAATATTTTAATTATTATTTTTTAGTCATTTTATTAATCATTTATTCTAACCAAAAGTACAAGCCATATTTCATGCAAAGTACCAATGTGTTTAAATGAAATTTTAAGCCATAACTAGATGCCATAATTATTTTTTGAAATAGGTCAAGGTAAACTTGAATTGACTTAAATGTGATTGATTGAATAGCTAAACATTGCTAGTACAATACTAGGAGTAGGTTATTAGGGTTAGAGTTAAACTCTGGATATTAAAAGTTTTAAGTAAACTCTTGATATTAAAAGTATAGTGTAAAACTCATAATATTATTAGAAGTGTAGTGTAAAACTCTAGATATTAAAAGTATAGTGTAAAACTCATAATATTATTAGAAGTGTAGTGTAAAACTCGTAATATTATTAGAAGTGTAGTGTAAAACTCTAGATATTAAAAGGCTAGTGTAAAACTCTAGATATTAAAAGGCTAGTGTAAAACTCTAGATATTAAAAGGCTAGTGTAAAACTCTAGATATTAAAAGGCTAGTGTAAAACTCTAGATATTAAAAGGCTAGTGTAAAACTCTAGATATTAAAAGGCTAGTGTAAAACCTTGGATATTTTCATTTCTTTGTGCTGGACACAATGGAATTATGTGTATAATGGGGCCTGATTTTGTCTCCCTATTGACATGTGGTCTGTATCTGATGGATTCATGTGTATAATGGGGCCTGATTTTGTCTCCCTATTGACAAGAACATGTGGTCTGTATCTGATCATCTTATTGCACTGATGCTCTTCATTTATTGACACACTGAATTGTTGACTTGTTAAATATTAATTTACTTCACAAAGGTGCCAAGATGTTAATGTGTAATGTTTTCTAAAGTGATAGTAGTTGATAGAAGGCTACTGATGATCTGTTCATCATATGGATGTATTTTTTGGAACCCTGTGATTAGAAGGACATGCTGCTGGTGATTCAGGAATTAATGTGTTTGGAAACAAGTTCAAACCTTCTTACAAACAGGGATGGCAGTTTTTACTTATCAGGGGAGTGCTTTGAATTTTAGCTTTATCTTTGAATTTTGTCAGCTTTATCTGAGGATCTTGTCAGCTTTATCTGCAGATTGTGTCAGATGAAGCAGTGGATTGTTTGTGCTCACTCACTTTGAGTTTAATTGGAGTTTATGAGCTGAATTAGTGAGCTTTAAGAGCTCAATAAGAAAATTTCTCGAACAAGTGAAAATTGTGAAGCCAGAAAAAGGTTAAGCCTAAATGTTATGGGTTTGCCTACAAGTTAAGTTCTATTTGAGCCACATACAATGTAAACCTATCAGATCCAAACAATGGACATATCTGACCATATAAGTCAGGGGTCTCCAAACTATTCAGTCCGAGGGCCACATTAACTATAAAATTTCAGTTCGCGGGCCATTTTCTTACAGGCATGTCTTTCATTTTTCTAGGCAAAGTTCCTCAGCCATCACTAACAAACGTTTTTTTCCGTGGACAAAAAGATCTCCGCGGGCCGGATGAGAGGACCTCGCGGGCCGCATTTGGACGGCGGGCCGTAGTTTGGAGACCCCTGATATAAGTCATCAAAGCTTCATGTTCTGATTTTTAAACTTCCTTTTGTAAAAATTAATAATTACACTTGAATCTTTGCTTATATATTTTTTTCATTTTCATTGTGTGACATCGGATCCTTTAAAAATGTAAGAGTTATTAAAAATCTTGATTTTTACTTTGTCACGGAGAAAATGTAAATTTTCTAAAATTAAACATTTAATTGTGCAATACAAATCTAAACAAAGCAAAGCCAAGTTTTTGTGCATAATATTAAATGAGAAAATCTGCTCAACATGTATTTTGATTGTTTGTTGAAAATATGTTTGTAAATGTAAATACAGCTTTGTGATGAAAGCTGCAGTTAAATTGTATGCATAATTTTATAAAAAATTTTTTTATAGAATTTTAGCCATAGAAGAAACAATTGAACCATGACTGTTTGAATCAGTGTCTAGTAATAAATCAATTT